AGACCTCCTGGGGGGTCGGCAGGGGCTGTGAGCAGGCACTGGGGACCAAAGGGCACCGCATCGCACCGCACCCTGCACCCCTCCACAGCAGGATGTGGCCAGGGGCGTTCCTGGGGGGCTGTGATGGGCAGGGCCTGGGGTGAAGGTGAAACTGGAGGGGAGGGGGCTGTGACAGGGCACAGAGTGAAGGGAAAAGTCTCCAGTTTTGGTGCTGGTCTGCCTCTTCCTGCACTGCTGGACATGGCTGAGCTTGGGACCAGCCCAGAGCTGGCGTTTCTGAGCTGAGAGCCCACAGAGCCCGGAGCTGCTGCGGGCAGAGCAGATCCTCGTTACAGTCATTGGTCCAAGGGCCGTGAGCCCAGGCCTGACATCACACGCCGTGGCTGTGCTTCTGCTCTGCGGCACCACCGGCGGGAGAGGCTGTGTGCGTGTGTGTCTCACTGGCTCCGCTCTGTGTCTTGCAGGATGAAGTGAAGCTCCCGTCTAAACTGAGCATCAGCAAGTCTCTGAAGGAGGGCGAAAAGCTGGAGAAGGAAGGCGAGGGCGAGGAGGTGCCTGCGGGCGAGGACCACGCCGAGGAGGACCACGTGCAGCTCTCCTCGGATGAGGAGGTGGAGATTGAAGAGATCATTGAAGAGTCACGGGCAGAGCGCATCAAAAGGAGCGGCATGAAAAGAGTGGATGACTTCAAGAAGGCGTTCTCAAAGGAGAAGATGGAGAAGACTAAGCTCAAGACCAAGGAAAACCTGGAGAAGACCCGCCACAACTTAGAGAAGACCCGCCACAACCTGGAGAAGAGGATGAACAAACTGGGCACCAAGATCGTGACTAACGAAAGGAGAGAGAAGATGAAGACATCTCGGGACAAGCTGAGGAAGTCCTTCACCCCTGACCACACCATCTATGCCAGATCCAAGACAGCCGTCTACAAAGTGCCGCCCTTCACCTTCCACGTCAAGAAAATAAGAGAGGGTGAGGTGGAAGTGAAAGCCACGGAGCTGGTGGAGGTCGGCGGAGAGGAGGGAGAAAACTCGGATCTGCTGCGCGGGGAGAGCCCCGAGATGCACACGCTGCTGGAGATCACGGAGGAGTCCGACGCGGTACTGGTGGACAAGAGCGACAGCGAGTAGGGCGGGCTGCGGCGCGGAATGGTTGTGGACGACGGCTGAACACGCAATCACTCACGTTTCGAGATCTCTCTCTGCCCTGGTGCCCCAGGGGAAGTGTACACAACGCATCTTTACTGCCCTGCAGAGCCGACGCCGATCCCCTGCCCGCTAGGACAAGGTGTATTTTCTATTTTAGCTTTAGCACACAGGAGCGTTAGGAACATGGGACTGTTTTTCTTACACTGTTAAATCACCCTTGGAGACCATTCCTGCCGCAGGCCGAGATCTCTCTCTGCCCTGGTGCCCCAGGGGAAGTGTACACAACGCATCTTTACTGCCCTGCAGAGCCGACGCCGATCCCCTGCCCGCTAGGACAAGGTGTATTTTCTATTTTAGCTTTAGCACACAGGAGCGTTAGGAACATGGGACTGTTTTTCTTACACTGTTAAATCACCCTTGGAGACCATTCCTGCCGCAGGCTGCGCCAGAGCC